AACAACAACAACAACAACAACAACAACAACAACAACAACAACAACAACAACAACAACAACAACAACAACAACAACAACAGCAGCAGCAGCAGCAGCAGCAGCAGCAACAACAACATACACCACAAACAGTACAGCAGATCCATATGCAACAGATGCCCCAGCAAGTCCAGCACCAGCAGTTGCAGCAGCAGGTGCCGGTCATCAAGGAGGTGTGGAACTTCAACTTGGAGTTTGAGTTCAACGCTTTACGTACATTCATCAACGACAAGACGCAACACGTGTTCATTTCCATCCACCAGGAAATCCCCGGCATCGTGGCTCGGCCCGTGGGCACGTTCAAGTCGTCCTCGGACTACCACTTCCAGACGTTGCGGCTGAACCTGGACTTGTTGAACTTGATCCAGTTGTCGTTTTGCGCAGTCAAGGTACGCAACAACGAGGTCAGCAGCTCCGTCATCTGGCAGTTCAACTTCCACTACGACTTGGCCAAGGAGATGTTCAACGAGGAGCATTTGTCCATGTTGTCGCTGACCTCGCAAATCAACTTCGCCTCGCACATGAGCCAGGGCATCCCGCATTTGTCGTTTGCTGAGTTGATGATGGAAAGCGGCTTGCTCTTGGACCCGCTGATCAACTGGTTGAGTTACCACTCGGGCTACGACTTGGGCTTTCTCATCAGCTTGTTGACCAACGACATCCTCCCCAACGACGAGGCCGACTTCTTCTGGTGGTGCTCCAAGTACTTCCCCAACTTCTACGATTTGAAGCACATCGGAAACCAGCTCTTGGCCAATTCCTCGGGCGGGAAGGTCGCCTCCAGCGCGCTTGCAGGCAACAACGTTGCCGACTACGGGCTTGGTGGCGGTTTGAACTCACCCAAGTCAGCCAATGCTGATATTGGCAAGGGCATCTTGTCGAACAACAAGCCCTCCATCGAGTATTTGGCCGAGGAGTTGCATCTCCTTCCTATCTCGCCCGTGATCCGCCAATACTTCACGTCTCAGAGCATGGGCCAATTTCTGGGCCACCATCAGACCCAGCAGATGACGTCTACCTTACACGCATACCTCTTGATGGAGTGCTTCAAAGAACTCTTGAGACAAGCTAACTCGGACTTGTCCGTGTTTGAGAAATTCAAAGGTTATCTCTGGGGACTTGGCGATGTGTTGGAGGGTGCGAAGAACTCTGAGGCGATCGACTCAAAGAATAAGCGAAAGTAGCAACGAAGATCTAATCAAGCCTCAACCCATGTATTAATGCAGTTATAATGTACAATAGAGAAAGAATATAAACTCACAGCGTGTCTTGAAATGAATGATCAAACGTCAACCTGCTCCCCCGTGGCAGCGCTCTCCTGAGCAGTGCTCTCCTCGACAACGGCGGCCTCTTCTTCTTCTTCTTCAACCTTGGCCCTCTTACTTTGCTCAGCCTCTCTGCCGGCCTCTCTTTCGGCTCTCTTTCTCTTGTGCTCGGCCTTCTTATCCTCGCCCTCTCTGACCTCCTCGTCCTTGGGTGGAGGAACAAACCACGGAATCTTACCTCTGTTGAAGTCATTCAAAACCTGCTTGGCAACGGAAGCCTCATCGGGTTCACCGCCTTTAAGCAACCGGCCGTGCTTACGTGCAAGAAGCTCGATGAACTCTGTGCTTGCCTGTTCCAACAAGGAAGGGTCGTCCTCGTAACGCTTCCATCCCTTGATTTCGTAGGTTCTCTCCAAGTGCTTTCTCTCGCATTTTTCAAGCAATTCGGGAATATACTGTTCAGCATTGGTCACGTGCTCGACTCTGACGACTCCTCTGAACAAAATGTCGGATTGGGTGTCCTTGTTACTAGGCGGCACAATACCAGGACAGTCAATCAAAAAGATTCTCTTCATCAACGTGATGTACTGCCACACCTTGGTCTCACCGGGGATGGGGGCAACTGTACACACTTTCTTTTGGCGCAAAGTGTTGATGATGGAAGACTTACCCGTGTTTGGGTAACCGATGAAACCCACGGAAATCTGTTTTCTGTCTGTGTGAAGAGTGGAGAATTGACGCAACAATTGGATCAAAGAGCCCTTTCCGAAAGAATTGTTGATCGACGCATGGAATGCCAACGTGGGGAACGATTTGGACAAATGCTTGACCCAAGCAGCCTGGATATGTTAGTATGGTTTGGGAAAAGGTGTATCGAGAACATCATCGAGGGAGGAGAAATAAAAGAGAAGAAAGAGGAAAGTGTCGGCTTCTATACTACGGACAAACCCATAAGGTGGGGTAGGTCCAACTCAACAAGATTCCGTGGCTACCCTGAATTGCCAATAAAAACTATCGGCAGGCGTGGACAAGGCTCGAGCCAAAACGGCAAGAGCACCGCGCACCAAAACGGCACACGGGACCACAGGCGGGTAGCATTGATCTTCCAAGGACGTAACAGACAACGACGTAGATAAGGTGTGGTCCGGAGACCACGGTCGTCACCCTGACAAAGGTCTTTGGGTTCTCAAAAGAGAAAAATGAATAGATTGGTGAAGAGGAGGGAAGAGAGCGAAAAACGTCTCGACTGATGTTCTCGTTGTGGCCACTCCAGCCAAGCTCCAGCATGTGAAGCAAGGACATTGCAGATAGCCCAGGGCAAGCTGCAAGCCCCCCAAAAAAAAAAAAAAAAACATACCGCAACCCATGTGGGGATCAAGTCGCACTTGTTCAACACGTAGATCAAGTGTTTGTGAGGGCACTCCTCTTTGATGTATTTCTCAACGGACTCACACCGCGTGCCAAGCGGGTTCCGCGCGTCCAACACGTGGATCACCACGTCGGACGAGTCAATGACTTTGTACAACTCGTTCCAAATTCGTTTGGACTGGCCCTTGTGGAAGATGGCCTCCTTGGCCTCCTGCGTGAAGTCATCCTTGTCCAAAAACGAGCCGCCCATCAACCCGAGCGTGGCGTCCAAGTCCTGCTTTTCCTGGTAGCTCTGCGAGTCCGCGGCCGACAACTCGGCCAACTCCTCCAATGAGGACGCGGCCTGCACACGTGGCTTTTTGCGCTGCTGCTTGGGGCCAAACGCGTGTTCGTAGGACTCGGTTTCGATGATTTTGGCGGTGGGCGACTCGGTCTGGTCCTTCTCGTCCAACAAGGACATGGGCAACTTGTTCCTGCGCAACAAGACAGAGTACGTGTCGTGCTTCCGCTCGCCCATGGCGTCGCGGAAATGCGAAAGCGCGTCCTGGGCGATCACACGCGTGTTGCCGAACCACTTCCGGTTTGGGTCGACGCGGGCGATCGGAGCGTCGGTCGACTGGAGCGCGGCTGCACGGATGATCTCACCCTTGGCGTTCCGCACCGCACGGCCGGTTTTGTACATCTGGAGATGCTTGACTTTCTTGGCGTCCCGGTAGAAATTTTCTCCCTTCACCCGGAGGTTGCCGTCACGTTTGTCGCCCTCCCTTGTTCTTCTCAGCTTTTCCTTTTTCTGCGTTCCCATTTTGTGTGGATATGTTTGTGTGAATGTGAGTCCAGTGCTTGTGGAACTGAGAGGAAATGTACTGACAGAAGCGGTGCTTGTCGGAACCCGGAGAGTAGTGGGCTTTTTAAGTGAAAGGAAAAACCAGAGGTAGTAAAAAAAAAGTTGTGATGCGATGGAGAAGACAGGATGGGCCTGTGTATGCAGGCTGCGCGCATCTTTTTTATTGGGCCCGCAATGGGGCATCGCAGGGCTCTTTCGATTTGCATCGAGATATGGGCGCCGCAGAAATATCGATTTGGCAGGCGGGGATATTAGTCACGTGATAGTTCAAGGTAAAGACAATCTGAGGACTCTTTTAACTCCAATCCATGATCTTCAGTTTCTGTAGCGATCTGGCCATTAGTCATATGCTTGTCTCAGAGATTACGCCATGCAGTTTCAAGTATAATCTATACAGTGAAAATACCGCCCCTTCTGTAACGGTAATCTCGACAAAAGCAGGCCTTCCCACATCAAGGATATCTCGCTAGCACACGCGAGGCCAGACTTTTGTAAAAGCTCCAAGCTTCCACCAAGAAATTAGTTCTGGCATCATTGATTATAGCAGCGGATTTGATTTCGAGATAGTGGGGCTTGCAAATTCTGCTTTATTTGGAGCAGAGTTGAATCTTTCGAGAACACTGTTTTGGTTGCGAACAATGAGTTTCAATAGAAGCGGCATAAATAGTGAGCTCTTGTATTCTGGTTTGCCAAGAAGGGAAACCATACTATTGCATAGTCTGAACGCACCTTGTTGGATTATATCAGTCCTAGATATTGGGCAATAATACAATAGATCATACCACCAAGCCACCAGACCACCAGACCACCATAATACCATACTTCCATACTACGATTATACCATAGTACTAGCAGATTATGATATTGTAATACATCAATAGCAAGTGAATTTTATGTGCCCAGAAAATGGGGGTATAGGTGGTGCTGATGTACATTTCAAGACTTGAGATGATGAAGGTTTACATTATACTTTCATAAAGCATAATACAACAACACATAAGATATATTACATAACTACATAATACAATATTACACAATACTATACTACATCATGAGCAACTGGATCTTTGTTCCCTGAAAATACATATTTATGTGGTGCTTGGGTCTTTTGTCCAACAGGTGAGACTGCGAAGGCTCACCATACTACCATACTACGTAGCACCTAAATACGTATACATAATCCCTAAATACCTCATAAATAAGACATTAGTACAAAATACCATACCACAATATTACCGTAATATGTCATGAGCGTGTGGATCTTTGCTCTCTGAAAATAGAGGTTGAAGTGGTGCTGAGTTCTTATGCCTCAACAAGTGGGACTGCAAAGTCTCATACCTTCTACGTAAAACATCTTTCAAAAATATATTATTCAATAATACATCAATACAAAACTACATCATACCCTATTACTATAATACAACAATATTACCCTACTACTTACTATACTACCCGACCACCCGACTACCATAATGCCACACTTCCATTCTTCAATATTACCACAGTGCTCAACTATCATACCACCATACTACCATACTACCATACTACCATACTACCATACTACCATACTACTATAATACCATAATACCATAATTCAATAATGCAACAAAATTTCACCACCATAGTACCATAATATACTACAATGGTGTCATGATACCATAATAAATCATGAGTAGGTTAATCTTTTGTTCCCTGAGGTACAACAGGTGGTGATGTTCTATAATTCAAGACGTGTGACTGCAGAGTCTCATACCTTACAGCCCTTATACATAATACCTAAATACTTGGATACTCAAAAACATCAATACATGAATACATAGATACATAATTACATCTTACCTCGATAAATAATACATGGGTACATCTTACCTTGATACATAAATACATACTACATAGATAAATGATACCATAATCCAAAAAAACCCTACTACTAGAAGACCATAGTATTATAAGACCATAATACCATTATACATCGCGAGCGAGTGGATCTTTCGCTCTTCTAGATTTGGGGTACCGAGGTCTTGTATCACAACAGGTGACTGCGAACCATAAAACATTACACCTAAATACATAGTACATAATTACACAATGCCTCAACGCAAAGCACCATACTACAAGAATATCATAACATATCATAGGCAGGTAGATTTTTTTTCCTAAAAGTAAAAATTTATGTGGTGCTGAGGACTTGTATCGCAACAGGTGAGACTGCGAAGGCTCATACGCGATACGTGAATACATAATACCTAAGTGATATATAAAAGAATACTAACCAAGTGCATAAGACATGATACAAAAAAAACAAAACATGAGTAGTAACGAAGTGCATGTGACATAATACATCATTTATCTGTACATGTTGCCGTAATACAATAGTACCCTACTACTATATTACCACACTACCAGACTACCGTACTCCATAATATCGTGCTACCAGACTACCATACTGCCATAATACCACAATAACTTATGACAATAATACCATAAACCTATACATCATCAGCTAGGGGATCTAAATTTTCCCTTAGAATCGGGGTATTCGTGGTGCCGGTGCTTTGTATCAGGAGATGATACTGCGAGGGCTCACTATACTACCATAACTCATAACACCTAAAGACATATCCTTATTCCTGGATACATACATACGTAGTACATAACTAGATGATACCTAAAAAACACTCAATACGAAACCTAATACATCATGAGCAAGTGGATCTTTCTTCCCTAAGAACGGGTATCAGCTCTGAGATCTCTCCGAAGGCTCTTCAATACATCCAAAAACATAAATACCCAGTCCATCACACAAAACACCTGAATACAAGAATGAATAAATACGTATAGAACACCTAAATACATAAGAAATAAATCCTTAATACAGAACATTAATACAAAACATCTATACATCATGAGTGCATCTTTCTTCCCCAAGAACTGGGGTATTAGCACTGAAGGCCCACCGCACCATAATACATCACCCAAATACATAAGTACCCAATCCATAATACAAAACACCTGAATACAAAAATAAGTAAATACATAATACAAAACACCCTAATACAAAAATAAGTAATTACATAATACAGAACAATTATACAAAACACCTATACATCGTGAGCAAGTGCATCTTTCTTCCCCAAGAACTGGGGTATTAGCACTGAAGGCCCACCGCACCATAATACATCACCCAAATACATAAGTACCCAATCCATAATACAAAACACCTGAATACAAAAATAAATAAATACGTATAGAACACCTAAATACATAAGAAATAATTCCATAATACAGAACATTAATACAAAACATCTATACATCATGAGTGCATCTTTCTTCCCCAAGAACTGGGGTATTAGCA